CTGAAACAGGAGCCATCTCTGACATGATTAGTTGAACAAGGAGATTTGGCAGACGTGTTTTCCTCTTGGCTAGATCTTTAACATTTTAATTTGCAAGTGAATGTGGCTTTTATTCGTGGCAGCTGTTGTCGAAGCAGCTCAGGTACAGCTTGTTTCAGTGCAGGGCTGTCTGGGTAAGAGGCTTTCCTGCCAGGTGAGCACTGGGAGGTCTTTTAGAGACAGACTAATGGCAAAGACCCCGTGTGCTGTTGTGGAGAACATCTGGAAGGGGATGCTCTGTCCATTGCTACGCCCAGCATTGCTTTCCAAGGGGACTTCAAATGTCATGTCACAGTATAAACCTGCCAGGACTTCGAGTCCATGAGCTGCGAGTCAAAGACATCTGTTACTGCAAAAGGACCTGGTCAAGAAACCCATCTTCCTCCTGCCCTCCCTGTGAATATGCAGGAGTGGGTCCCATAAAATGGAAATAGGCTTTTGTAAGGAGCAAGCAGAGCAAAAGAGAAGTTCCCTCTGCATCCAGCAAGGTTTTCCTGTTACAGCACTCCTGCTGATTTGCTCCTGTTGGGTTTGGAGCCTTGGTGTGCTGTTGGAGAAATACATCCTTGTTTGTCAAACAGTGAGTCCTTCCAGGTGGCACTTGGCCCAGTAAAGCTGCCACAGAGTTGTAACCAGAGACCTCTGTGATGTCCTGGAAAGAGTCTGCTCTGGTTCTCCCACATGTTTGGGAAAAACCAAGGACACATCAGTCCTTAAACGGGGAGAAAAGAATCCTTTTGGGTTGGAAATTCGTGCTATTTCCATGGTCTTGATGTGCTTATGGTCCCTGAGTCTTCCTTCCTCTAAAAACTGCATTGCTGTCCTCTCTGGTGGGATTTGCCTTTCATCACCCAGCTGCTGTGGGGGATGAGCATCAAGATTTTGGAGCTGTGATAAAGTGTAAGGTCAATGCTGCCTGTAAAATGGTCCTGAGGGTGGATTCAGTGCTTGTAGCACAGAGAGCTGGACATCTGCAAGCAGAGAGCACCTTGAGATTGGGGATTATGTTGGGAGAAACCAACCTTTGGGCAACTCTCCAGGACAGGGTGGATCCAGCTCCAGGACTTTGTCAGGTCTTTCACACTGCTTGCAGGTCTTGCAAATACATGGACAATGTGCCAGCAATTCATCCATGTTTCTACAATAAATTTTGGCATCAAGATGTGCCTCCAGGATGATGTAAGTTGTCTGCATGTCTCCAGGTATTTCTGGTTGCTTCATTGTCCCCTGAGGCAAGACACACATCAGTCTTCCTCCCTTGCATTTTTGGGCAGCCTTTCTCTCAGGCATGGACTGGAAGGATGATGACTTGCTGTCCTGCTGATGACATCACTATTTTCACCCCGAATGAGGGTGCATTCACTGTCTTTCTGCTGTTGTCCTGGCAGAACTCAGGTGTCCTAAGCCAAAGAACTCAGGGTTGGGACTCCTGGCCATATTTTGATTGGGTTTTTTGAGACTTTAATCAAATAACACTGATGGAATTGAATTTCTCAGAACTGCCTAGTTGGGTCTCTGCAGAAAAAAACACTGCAGAGCAAAAGAGGGTGCATGGAGAGGCAGATGAGGAGGGTGAATCTCATAAATATCATGTCTAGGGCTGTTCTACCATTGGCCAGGACTTCCAGCACAGAAATAGGTGCTGTTAGCTAGTAGCACATGTGGTCTCAGTGCCCTGCACCCTGCCACGTGTGCCTGGACCTGCTGTATGTGCCTCCTCCTGTGCACAGCCCTGCTGCATGGGACAGCCTTCTGGCTTGGCTGGTGCTTGCTCACAGACTCCCCCAGCTCTTCCCCACTCCTTGCAACTCATGGTGATCCCTTGTCCTGGAATCTTTCAGGGTCTGGAGGCAGCACAGCTCCATAGCCTTGGTCCACAATCTGCTTCCCTCCTTGTGACACTATGGTCAGGGCTCTTCCCAGGCTGTGAACACATTGCCACCTCTCCTTTCTCCACCTGCTTCATCCCCTCCACAGTTCAGTACAGAAATCCCCCATCCCTGTAACAGCAGGGAGGGCAGGGAGCTGGCAGCATTCCTCACCCTGCTCCCTGCCATGCCCAAGGCAGGGTGCACCCAGGTGCAACCTGCCACCATCTAGATGAACCAGAGGGGGAATATTCAGAGTATTTCTGTTAACCTGTAGCCAGGAGAGAGCTGCCAAGGAGGCCACGCTGAAACCTGAAGCGGCTGTTTTTCCTGAGACTCAGCATTTGGCAGGGAGAGCAGACGGACAAGTGGTGGAGCAGGGAGGGAAGCAATTGCCCTGGGGAGCAGCACTGCCAGTGGAGGTGCCCAGGGAAAGTGTGCTGGCTTACCTGTTTGTCTCTGGGGATCCATCTCCATGTCCTCCTTGGCTGAGATCACGTGTAGAGTCAAGAGGAGGTGACCCTTCTGTCCTTACATGTGGCTCTCCCCTTGGTCACCCTCCTTGCAACACATACTGAGCATCTCCTTCAGCAGGGAAAAGCAAAAACTGTTTCTCCCATTGCGTTTCTCAGAAATGTCAGGAGTGGTTCAAGTGTCCCTCTCAGCTCATCTGCAGGGTTTGGCTCAGCCAGCGCAGGCAGCAGCACTCACCTTGCCTGGACCTTTTTTCCTTTATAGCTCAGTGTTATCTCAAGGTCTCTGGCGTTGCAGGCGGTGCCGTGTTTGCCTTGCCCTGCAGCACCTGCCTGCCAGCCGCTCGCTTCCCACCCATCTCCCTCCCACTCCTGCACGGCTTGGAGGGGGTGCTGTGATCCCTCAGGGTGTGAGGAGTCCCTCCATAGGGATGCAAGTCAGCCCCAGGGAAGGGAGGGTAGAGGGAAGTTGCCAAGTGTGGGATGGTGGGAGAGATCCTGGGGAACATCTGTCCCATCATCTTTGCTTCCCCATCCCTTTGCTGCTGAGCAGGACTGGGCATTAAACTGAATCAGGGACCAGGACACTGTCCCAGCCTGGTCTCTGCTGCCAGGACCAGCATATGACTGAGCTGCCATGCCCTGCCCTGTCCAGGCAGCATCAGCCCTTCCAGCCGTGGGGAGAGCCAAGTCTTCATCCAAAAGCTGAGATGCTGTTAAAAATAGATCCGTCGTGAACTGGTTTTCTCCTTCTTGGCTCCTGGCTGACAGCTCATTCCTCCCTCTGGGCTGTCTTTGAAACTCTCTGGATGCTGTGAGACACAGGCTCCATAGCAGCCTGCCACTGCAGGGAGGTGTGGAGAGAAGAGAGCTGCAGAAACGTTCTAGCTGTCCCAAAAATATTTAGTGGTTTGTGAGTGCTTTCTCCCAGGAAAGAAGCAGCACTGGAAAAATAATCTGCTAAATAAATGGAGAAACAAAGCTGGGGGAGGAGCACTGTTTGCCTCTCTGCTTGCATGTGGTGAGGAGACACAGGTGTCCAAGCAATCCTGGCCACAAAGCAAAGCAAAGCTCACCTCTGCCCCCTGGAAAAGCTGTCAGGCTGCTGTCCCTGCTCATCTCCTCAGCCAGTGATCCCAGCGGTCCTTGCCCTGCACGGCTCTGCAGGAGCTCCTGGCACTGCTGTGCAGCCACTGTGTCCCGGGCTGGTCCTGGGCTGGTAGCCTGCTCACCTCCAGGGAAAGGCCACGTCTCCCACTTTGAGACAGCTGTTCTGGATCCCAGTATCCCTTGTACCCCTTTTCTGTCCTCCTAATTCTTTAATATAGTTTTCCAGGTGTGAACACTGAGTCTCGAGACAGTTTTAAGATGCAGCTGTTAAACCTATTATCAGTGTCCCTGCTATCAAAGACGTGGTGTTCAGGGCTGCACGTAACCACTGAGCAATTAAACAGCAACCCTGGTGATGAATTACAGCTGAGACCTCCTGGGGCTAAATAAATACCGGCTGATAACTACCTATAAAATGAATTTTTGTGTGTTTTTTTCTTAAAAGCACCCTTCCAGTATCTGTGCCCAGTCCTGGCACTGCACAACTCCTGGGGAGAGTTAAATTATCTATGGCATTTCCATCCCTAGCACCTTGGGTTTCCAACCAGAACTGGAATAAAAATAAACTAAATAAATCTATGTCCCTGCAGGAGCCAGGAAAGGCAAAGCAAGGCAAGGCATGACAACGCAGAGGTGGGCAGGGAGAGAGGGAAGTGACAAGCTGAGGTTTTAGGTAACAAGTTTAAATGTCTTTTCCCCCAGTGATCCCACCCTAAAGATGTGAGAAAACTGTTGAGGTGCAGAGTATTCCTTGGAAAAACCTTTAGGAGACCAGGAGAGCTGCAGAGTGCTGGTGGCAGAGTGGTGGGGACCCCGAGGTGATGTGAAGGAGAGCAGCAGGCTGGCAGTGCTTCACCCAGCACCTGCCCAGGGGGAGAGCTGTGAGCCCACCTGCACAGGCACCTTCCACCCTCTGCCTGCAGAGACTTCTGCTCTCCCAAGGGAGTTTGGAAACAGGCAGAGAATGGAACTTCTTGGAAAAACGATCTTTGCCAGTGACTTTGAGAGACTTCTGAGCAGATTTTGTCTGTGCTGGTGTTTCATCTGGGGGCTTCTCTTCCCATGCAGGAGGGCTGGTGCTCTGCACCCCTGCGTGCAGCTTTCCCACTCTCCACTGGCTGCAGAGAACAGCCACACAGTCAGGGAACAAGCATTTGGCCGAACATTCCATCTGCCTGGTTTGCTAGTGAAAATAAGGCTTGTCCAATGGCCAGCTCCACCCAGAGCAGAAAATCAGACCCTTTGGCCGAGTGTTGCTACTGTAATGAAATTGAGCTGTGCTGAGACTGCCAGTACTTGGAACAGGAAAGATTCCATGTGCGTTCAGAGAAGTTTGGGGATGGATCTGTCAAAATTGCTGCTGTTTAGGGGTTTTGACACTCCCTGGGGACACCCACCACGGGAGAATGTTGCCCTGTGGCTGAGCTCACCCTCGGCACTGATCACACCTTGTCTTCTCCCTGCAGCACATTCTTCCAGCCCTGGAGCTGTGTAGTCTCGCAGGGCCATCATGAAGCTCCTGCCTGTTTCCCCTCTCCTCCTGCTTCTCCTGACAACACTGGAAGCCAGACCAAAATCTGCAGGTGAGCCCTGGCTGGTGGGGAGTGCATGGAGGGAAGAGGAGTGAGAACACAGGGCAGTGGGGCCCTTGGAGGACAGTTTGCTGTGTGATGTGGGGGTATGTGATGCTTCTTCTTTGGGAGCATCCCCAGGCTGATGGAGGATCCCCCCAGTAGTGGGACACAAACGTCCTGGCCCAGGCCTGGTGGCTCTGGTGCTGCTTGCTCTGAGCACCTCCTGAGCTGGGACACAGCCCTGCCCAGGACTTGTCACCCTGCAGGACATGGGCTGGGACCTTGGCAGGAGACACAGCTGAGAGGGGAAGCCTCCTCCTTACTTGACTCTCCAGGTGCAGGGGACAAAGCAAACCCAGAGGTACCAGCCTCTGTCCCCCAGGACAGAGGGATCTCAATCAATTTTACTTTAAAAACAGTGAAGGCACCAAGTGGAGAAAGGAGCAGGTATGTCTCAGAGACCTTCAGAGCAATTGAGATTGGCTTCATCCCAAAGGGACTCAAAGTGTTTCCTTATGATTAGGGCCCAATTCTCCCAGGCTTGGGTGCACACAAGCCAAGCATTTCACTTAGCAGTTCACTTGCTGAATACTCCGGTTTGTACTGGAAGTAGCATCCTTGTGCTCGAGAAGCTCTTTGGCTCAATCTCTGCCAAGTGCGTGCCCTCAGCTTTGCTTTTTACTGTCTCATTTTCTGCCCTTAAAGAAACACAACCACAACAATCCAGAGTCAGGGGATGTCTCCCCAGCCTGTTGGCCCTGCTTCTGCTCTGCCACCACCTTCTGTGGATTTAGTGGGCAGTGGAAAGGTGCTGGTCTGTGGGGGCTGCCCAAACCTGCTCTCTCCACCCCTCATGGGCAACCCCCAGCCAGCAGGCAGAGATCTCTGTGCTCTCTGCAGACAGCCACAGGACTGAGCCTTTTCTTTGCCTTCTCCTTAGCACTGAAGTGCAGGACGGGTCCCCTGGACATCGTGTTTGTGATCGACAGCTCCCGCAGCGTGCGGCCCTTCGAGTTCGAGACCATGCGGCGCTTCATGATGGACATCATCAGCAACCTGGACGTGGGCCCCAACGCCACACGGGTGGGGGTGATCCAGTACTCCAGCCAGGTGCAGAACATCTTCTCCCTCAAGACCTTCTTCACGCGGGCAGACATGGAGAGGGCCATCAACAGCATCATCCCGCTGGCCCAGGGCACCATGACGGGGCTGGCCATCCAGTACGCCATGAACGTGGCCTTCAGCACGCAGGAGGGCGCGCGGCCCCGGCACAAGAGGATCCCCCGCATCGCCATCATCGTGACGGACGGGCGGCCCCAGGACCGCGTCACCGAGGTGGCCACCCAGGCCCGGAACGCTGGCATCGAGATCTACGCCGTGGGAATCCAGCGGGCAGACATGAGCTCCCTGCGGGCCATGGCCTCCCCACCGCTGGAGGAGCACGTCTTCCTGGTGGAGTCCTTTGAGCTCATCCAGCAGTTTGCCAAGCAGTTCCAGGACAAGCTTTGCGGTGGGTGAGAGCTGCTGCTGCGGAGTGGCAAGGGGGGCCCTGGTGTCTGCTCCTCCTCAGGCCAGAGGGTGACCTTCAGAGGGTGATTGGGGTGGCTGCCCGTGCCAGAAGCAGGGTAGATGGGGCAGCAGCCTCCCCAGTGAGGCGCCAGGACGAGGCACTGCTCAGTGTCTGTGCACTGGAGAGCAGTGGGTGAGCACTGGGGCTGGCAGGGCTGGGGCTGTGTGGGTGGTCACACTGGCTTCTGCTGCAGGGATGGGGCATATGCCAGAGCCAGGGTCCCCGTGTGTCTGGTGTGCCTGTGGGTCACTCTGATGCCTGTTGTGTCTTGCAGGGGTGGACATGTGTGTGGAGCGGGAGCATGGCTGCGAGCACAGCTGTGTCAGCACCCCTGGCTCCTTCTACTGCGAGTGCAACCCAGGCTACAGGCTCAACGTGGATGGAAAGACCTGCTCCCGTAAAAAACCTTTTTATTATCTGAACTTTCATAGGGAGCTTGTGGTTATGGGTTCCATGGAGGGAAGCTGGAACACAGCAGAGGATTCAGGGAGGCCAGCAGCAGCCTGGGTGCTCTGGGCCCACTGCCTGCCGGGTCTGTAATGACTGCAGACATTCAGCATTGCTAAATCCTGGCCACCTCTCTGAGATGGGACACTTGTCACTTATGTGGGCACAGCCAGCTGCCTGTCAGCTGAGGGGGTCTGGGCAGTGAGTATCAGAGGATTCACATCCCAGAGGATTCACAGCACCAAAGTGAGCAGTGTTTTTTCCCCTGGATTTTAGTGCAAAGCTGTGTTATTTGGTCTGACCACCACACCAAGATTTTCCTTCTCCTTTCACGGTGCTCTGAAGCCCTGGAGCAGTCGTGCCCTGCTGCCCCAGGGAGGCTGGGGCAGAAGGGTGATGGGTGTCCTGTTCCCTGCAGCCATCGATGCGTGTGCAGATGGCAGACACGGCTGCCAGCACCACTGTGTCAGCGTGCGGGGCTCGTACTCGTGCCGCTGCCGCCCAGGTTACTACCTCAGCCACAACAAGAGGAGCTGCACCAGTAAGTGACTGTCTCCCTCCCTGGCCCTTCTTCATTTGCTTCCCATACTCTCTCTCTTCTTGTCTTTTCCTTCCTGCCATTGCTCTCCTTGTCTCCCCAGTGATTGATTACTGCAGCTTTGGAAACCACAGCTGCCAGCACGAGTGTGTGAGCATTCCCAGCGGGCACTACTGCCGCTGCCGCAGCGGCTTCACACTCCAGCCCGACGGCAAGTCCTGCAGGGGTAGGTCCTGGTGTCTGCATGGCACAGGCTGTGTGTATAGCACCTGCCTTTCTGTCCTGCCCAGTCTCCAGGGAAGGACTTCCCCAGACCACCCCAAATGGGGATAACCCCATGCCCCTGGCTTGTCTTCCAGCCACCGACCTCTGCAACGGGGTGGATCACGGCTGTGAGTTCAAGTGTGTGAGCACGGAGGGCTCCTACCACTGCGTGTGCCCCGAGGGCCAGCAGCTCCAGGCTGATGGCAAGACATGCAGCAGTGAGTACTGGGACACAGCCCTTGACATTCTCCTTATCTCTGTGCTTCTGGAGAGAGCTCACCTGGAACCAGGCTGAGGGGCTCTGTCTCCAACTGGGACTCTAAGCTAGGCTGGAAGAGGGTGGAAAGCTGGCTGTGGTTGGGGGAGAACCCTGGCTGCTGTGGGGATGGATGCTTGTGTCCTCAGAGACATGGCCCAGAAGATATAACATCTTTAAGGAAAGGCTCAGGAAAAGGGAAACCTAGGAAAGTCTTTCAGGGGGTGTTGGTGTGTCAGTGGAGGTTTTTGGGCTGAGTCCCTTGGGCATAGTCTGCTCTCCTTCCCAGCTGCAGTTCCAAGGTGTTCCCACAGTGTCCTGAAGCTCCAAAGCTCAGCCCCAGCCCCGGGCTCCTTTACTCCACTCTGAGAGTGGCCATGGCCAGGCTGCTCCTCTCTCACTTCTCCTGTGCCTGCAGAGTGTGGAGCTGGCCATGTGGACCTTGTGATGGTGATCGATGGTTCCAAGAGTGTCCGGCCCCAGAACTTTGAGCTGGTGAAGCAGTTTGTGAACCGCATTGTGGACCTGCTGGAGGTGTCCCCCCACGGCACACGGGTGGGACTGGTGCAGTACTCCAGCCGTGTGCGCACTGAGTTCCCCCTCAACAAGTACCACAGCGCAGATGAGATCAAGAAGGCAGTGATGGATGTGGAGTACATGGAGAAAGGCACCATGACAGGCCTCGCCCTCAAGCACATGGTGGAGCACAGCTTCTCTGAGCTGGAAGGTGCCCGGCCTCTCTCTCACAACATCCCCAGAATCGGGCTGGTCTTCACAGATGGACGCTCCCAGGATGACATCTCAGAATGGGCGAGGAGAGCAAAGGAATCAGGTGCAGAGGGGGTTGGGAACCTCAAATTGCAGTGTTTTGGGCATCCTGGGATGGTTCCTTGGGGTATCTGTCTCAGGGAAAAGCTGCAGCATCCTTGGGAAGCTGCATCCCATGGCAGACGTGCTCTGTTGTGGCCACAGGGTGCTCTGAGCAGCATCCTTCATGCAGCAGCCTGCACCACCACAATGCTGCCATGCTCCTGCCTGTCCTTCCCAAATTCCTGCTGTATATTTGGAGAGCCTAGAGAAAATCCTGCATCCTTGACTTTGCTCCCTCTAAGCTTGGGGCTGCTTGCTGGGGGTGGCAAGTGCAGTGCTCAAGATGTGTCCTTGCCATGCAGGGATTGTCATGTTTGCTGTGGGTGTTGGAAAAGCTGTGGAAGAAGAGCTGAGAGCGATTGCTTCTGAGCCAGTGGAACAGCACTTCTCCTATTCAGCAGATTTCACCACCATGACCCATCTTGTGGAGAACTTCTCCCTGAATATCTGCCCAGGTGGGTGCTCCTGGCCACACCTGGGAACTTGACCTCAAGCCAGGGAAGGCCCTTCTGTCCCCACAGAGCCAGTGGGTTGGTTTGTGTGTCTCTCACCCTGGGTCAAGTACCTGGGCTGGTGTGAGTCTAGGCTGTCTCAGGACCTCTGCAGGCTGTTGTGGGTGTAGATATGGGTCTCTGGGAGGGATTTGTAAGAGGAAAAGGTGAAGCTGGGAGAATAAATTAAATAACAGGAATAAATTAAAAAACAGGAGGGGTTAATACAGAAGTATTAATGTGAGCAACCACTCCTGTGCCATTGCATGGGCAGAATTTGGGAGTGGCACCCTGCCTTGTGGGATGCTCTGAAGGTGGCCTGTGTACCTTGTTCAGACCTGTGCTTCTGCTGCTGGGTGCAGGGGGTTACTGTGAGGGTCTCCCTGCCATGGGACAGGCTGGGGCTCCCCAGTACCCTTGGGACCCCCACAGGGCTGCAGATATGGAGTCAGATATGGGTATCAACAGGCCCCCTGCCACCCCAGCTTGAAGGCAGAGTGAAGCTCAGCACTGTCTGTCCTTGGCACTCTGTGACCACGTGTGTGACAGCTCTGTGGGATGCCTGGCAGAGAGCTAGCTGGATCAGCAGGGCAGCCTGACAGAAAGCAGAGGGCAAAATAGTGGGGAGAGCCCTGAGCCCTGGTGGGTGGCTGCAGGGACTGTCTGGGAGCAAGAGAGAGCAGGCACCGTGGTCTGACTGCAGCCAAACCCCACTGTCACAGAGGAGGGCAAAGGGGAGACTGAGATCCGCAGCCCGTGTGAGTGCGAGGCGCTGGTGCAGTTCCAGACGAACACCGTGGCCATCCTGCAGAGCCTGACCGAGAAAAATATCCTTTGGGGTGATGCCTGGGCTTGTCAGGGTGCAGAACAGCTGAGCACACAGCACACATGGGGGAGGGAGGGATAGATAAATGGGAGTGGGGAAAATTTTAGGCTCTTTTAAGGGGATGAAGGCCTCTGCCCAGCAGAATGTGTGGCTCACGCTGTTTCCTTAGCATGTTCACTTGCTCAGATGACAGCCAGACTTGAAGAATTGGAAAAGCAAATTGCCAACAAGAAGTGATCCTGGCAGAGGGCTGCAGTGCTCGGCGGGGCACAGGGATGGATGTACAGTAGCTACATGACATTGTTATTGCTAGGTTATCATAAAGCATCAGTGTTTGTTCTTGTATTGCAAAATCCCCAGGGGGGCGTGGACTCTATTTAAAAATCCTAAAAACACAAAAGAAGGAACTTGAACAAAGCCTCTGCTGCAAAGCCAAGGGGTTCAGTTGTCCTTCCTTGGCAGGTCTGGGATGAGGGGAAGCAACTAGGTGGGCGGGCTGGTCATTGGACAGACATGACGCCTGGTGTCCCCCAGAGTGACTGGGATGGCACAGTCCCCCTGGACCCTGGCAGGCTGCTTTGCAAGAGAAAAAACCTACGGTGATGTCACCCTGAGAGCTTCTGTTGTCTCAGCACCTGCTGCCAAGTGGTGGGGCAAGGACAGCTGGGTGGTGCAGGCAGCACAGGGGATGCCTGATGCCCAGCTGGTGCCCAGTGTGGTGCCCTGGTGGGCTCCCATGGGAAGGTGGGTGGCAGGAATTCTTAGACCCTTTGCCCTGGTTTGGCAGAATAGTTTGGAAATTGGTATTAATCTTGTTTGGTTTTATAATCACATAGCAAAATGGTAATTATTCTATCAATATGTATGTGTGTATATATATATATGTATATTTAATTCTGAGAGCAGGGTAGTGCTATTTTTAAACTCTTGTTTTATATAAAGGAATTTCTATCCTGACAATAAACACCCTGAAGATTTGTATGACATGTTCCTCTCCTTTCAGCTGGGCTGCAGGGTGGCACTTCTCTGTGTCAGAAGTGTGTTCTCTGGCTTTTGCAGAAGCTCCTGTCCCTGGGATCCAGAAATCGTTTGGGAAAATCTTTGTTCTGTGGCACCCCAGGGTGCTTCAGGCCTGGCCTCAGTTGGAGGGAGCCAGTGTGGCACAGACACTGTGTCCCCATGGGCAGGGTTTGCTTTGGAGCCTGTGCTTGTAGGAGCACAGGGAGCTGAGAGCTGAGCTGGGCATGCACCCACAGCCTGGCCAAGGTGCCCATTGCAGCTGCTCTGGGGTGGGTGCTGAGGCAAAGGGACACCCAGGATCAGCTCGTGATGGATCCCTGCAGACTTCACAAAGAGCCACTGCTGACAGCAGGACTCTGCCCAGAGCAGTCTCCATTCTCTTGATTTTATCCCTCAACACCAGAATACATTTAGTTCCTTTCAGGGGATAACACAAACTTCCCCTCTGCTCCCCACGAAGCTGCAGCCCCCCTCCAGGACCCATCTGTGCCTCCAGCTCTGGGGTCCTGAGCACAGCAAGGAAGTGGAGCTGTTGCAGTGAGGGCAGAGGAGGCCATGGGAGTGCTGAAGGGCTGGAGCCCCTCTGCTCTGAGGAAAGGCTGAAGGAGTTGGGAATGTTCAGCATGGAGAAGAGAGAGCCATGGGGAGGACTCACTGCAACTGTGCAGAGCTTGAAGGGACCCATAAGAAAGACAGGAACAGAGTGTTCAACAGGGTCTGTGGTGGGAGGAGAAGGGGGGATGACTTTCGGCTGCAGGAGGTTGATTTGGGTTAAAAGGAAGCTGGTTTTTTTACCCTGAGGGTGGTGAGGCACAGGCCTAGAATGTGCACAGAAGCTGTGGATGCAGATCCCTGGGAACATCCAAGGCCAGAGGGGACAGGACTCTGAGCAACCTGGTCTGCTGGGAGGTAGCTCAGGTTTGAATAAGATGATCTTCAGGGTCCATTCCAAGGCAAACCGTTCAGTGTGGTCCCCATCACACACAGGGAGCGAATTTATCAATGAATTCCTGTGCATTATCACTGCACAGGGACTGCTCCAGCTGGAAGTTTCTTCTCCCAGCAAAGAGCATAAAACAACCATTGGCCCTTGTGTTGCTGCACCCTGCACCTTGCTCTGAGAGCATCCCTGTCACCTTGCTTGTCATCAGGTCCCTGACACTGACATCAGTCCTGAACGGTCCCCGCTGCCTGGATCTTGCCATCCATCCCTGCAGGATGCTCAGTTTTTGTCCCAATGAAGGTACAGTGCCATTCCATGGACGTGGACACTCCCCAGGCTGGGATGGGGCTCTGGAGGATGGTGTGGGACAGGGACCCCACTCTGAGGTTTTGCTCCCTATTCAGCCTGTCACAGACACTGAGGAGGAGATGGAAATCGATATGAAGATCGATAGAGAAGAGAATATGGCTGTAGATAGAGAAGAGAATGGAAAGGAAGAAATTGAGATGGATGTGGAGGAGATGGAGGAAGAGATGGAGGTGGAAATGGAAGATTATGTTGAAGACATGGAAGTGGATGAGAAAGGTGAGCAGGAGGACATTGTCCTGGGATGGACACCAACCCCAGGTAGGTTCTGGCCACGCCCTGCCCACAGGCAGAGTGGGTCCCCTTCTGCCAGGCTGGGGCTGGGCGGGGTAGCCCCGCTCAGGGACACGGTGCCCAGGGGACCTCCTGGGTTCTGGTGGCACAAGCACCATCCCCAGCCTGCCCTGCGCTTGCTTTGGGCCACACTTTGGGTCCCACTGCCTGGGGGCAGCCCCCAGCCCCAGCCAGGCTCAGTGCTGGCAGCAGAGCCCCGCTGTGCCAGCGTGTGCCAGCCTGGGGGCACAGGGAACAGCCCTCTGTGCCTGACTGCAGTGACTCTGTCGCTTGCTTTTCTTCCAGGACTGATGGAGATGCCAGACAGGGATGCCACCCTTCTGGATATATGTGTAGAGAGTAGTCTTCTGTATATACATGTTAGAGAGTGTTGTCTTTTGTAAATATGTTTCATACATCGTTGTTCTACATTATGTAAATAGGTTTTATAGTTTATTGTTGTTATAGGGATTCTTACCATTTAAACTCTAGTGTAGTTCACTGCTGTTTCTGCTCTTCTGTAAACAAACAATCTTTATTTTGCACACCCCAGCTCTGTTTTCCATTTGCTTTGGGCACAGGCAGCATGTGCAGAGTTGTGGTTTCCTCTTGCTCTGGGCTCCCCGAGCTGGAGATGTCTGGGAGTGCGGGGTTGGGGGTCCCTGTGCTCAGAGCAGGTCCCACTTAGAGGTCTGTACCCACCTGGTGTTTGTAGAGGCAGATTCCACAGGGCCCTTTCTCGTGGGATTACATCTGGGAGCAGCCGAGCCTGCCTGGTCCCGCAGAGCCTCCTCAAGGACACTTCACTAGGTGGCACCAGACACCAGCGCTAGGAGGGTGAGCCTGGGCTGCGGGCACTCCCTTCCCTTCTCCCGGGCACCCCGAGCGGCTGGAGCCGGCCCGGAGCTGAGGAGAGCTTCCTGAGCCAGGAGACAGGCAGGGATGGAAGGATGGAGAGATGGATATGGATGGATGATGGACAGATGGATGGGTGGATGGATGGGTGGATGGATGGGTGGATGGATGGATGGATGGAGCTCATCATCAGGCTGAAATCTTTGCATCACCTGGTGGGGGACTAGGGCTGCTTGGCAGGGCACACACTGTTCCTGGGGTGTTTTGTGTACCTGGGGAAGGCTGGGGGGTCAGGGGCTGCTGGTCTCCCTCCTTTCCCTTTCCAGGGAATACAAACTGCAGAGCCTTGCTCTGGCTGGGGAAAAGCAGCATGTGCCTCAAGCACTGCACAGCTGGGGCCTTGCAGGTTTGGAAGGAGGGACACAAAGTGGTTTTCATGGAGAAGAGCATGACCCATGTGGGATGGGGACTGCTCTGAGGGGTGCTGGGGCATTGGGTGCTGCACAGGTAACAGAAGGCAACACGAGGACTGCAGGCAATCCTGTGCCCAGAAATGCAGGGTCCTGGTTGTTTCATGAGTTTGTGACAAAAAGAGTTCACACTTTCCCCCCTGCTATGAATAAAGCACTATAGAATGTTCTTCACGTGGATTTCTTCCCCTCCCTCAACCCGTCCCCCATCCCCCCATCTTCTCTTCAGCTTAATCCAAGCTTTGGTCCCTTCCTCTTTTCTCCTCCCTTGGGGACATAGGTCCAAGCACTACCTCAGCCAGATTCTGGCACCACCGTTGTCCTCCCCAGCCCCAGTAGAAGCTGAATGGCAATGGATTGCTTAAAAATTATTCCAGTGCTTGTATTTCTCATTAAAAGTGCTACATTGTTGGTGCACAGTCCAAGAAATCTTTTGGGGCTGGCTATATTTTCTGCACATTACTTAATAAATGACTTCACAAAGAGCTAAATGCAGCCACAGAGTCAACAGGGAAATTGGACAATAATTAACAGATACCGGGTTAGTTGAGGTCCAGTTAATGGGGAGCGTTGCAACTTGAGAATGGAAGTCTGAGAAAGAAAAGGCACAGTGAGACACCCACCACGCCCTGGATGGAAAGTGGCAGCTCCAGGGGCTGGATCAGTGCACTTCTGGGGGCTCAGGGACTGCACAGAGCGTGTAGAAATGATACTGGGCTTTTGCTGCTCTTTATCCCTGCCTGGTTGTGAGATCAGGGGGCTGGGAGAGGTTGGCTGTGGGACCTTTCCCCTCCCCAGACATTCCCAGAGGAGCCTATTTCCAGGACAGGTTGGGCTCCTGCCAGCCACAGAAGTCCCACAGAAATATTTCAGGAACCTCTTACACAAGCAGAGTGGGACATTGACCAATTGGTGGGAAATGGAGTAACTTCCCGTTGCCCAAGGGCAACTAAAGAAAAGAGATTTACCTGGAGGCCAGGGCAGGGTTGCAATTTCCTTGGGAGGGAGGAACTGGGTGAGGTTAGAAGAGTGGTGAGATCTTTGCCATCCAAACAAGGACTACAGCTTCTAATCCCTACATCCATCAAGAGCTAGGGCTCAGTCAAGTTGTCCTTGTGCTGCATCATGGCTGATGAAAGGTCTGCAAGGAGGGGATTATCCTACCCCAGAGAGCTTTGTTCCAGCACCAACCTGTTTCCTATATGGCAGAAGCCACCCAGAGAGGACACTGGGGTTCACAGCTTGAGAAAACTCACCCTTGACAAAGCTAAAGCTGTTTTCCCTACACCAATTTAAACTCCCAGTGGGGC